TGGTTACAGGTATGGGAAAACAGGTAATTCCTATATTGTCCTTCAGAATTTCTTGTAGGCTGGCTGTACTTAATATATATCAGTTACCTTCGTAATCATGAAGTGGGAATTGCTATGTTCACATCCTAACACCTTGACATAAGTCTTACATATATATGCAATAATTTTCAAATTTCTGTCCTCACTATCTCACATATCTGAGAACTGTAACACTATTTAATATTTTTTTCAGTACTTTTGTATTAATTTGTGCAAAGGGATATTTTATGTCTTTAGACAAAGACTATCTTTTAGGGTACTTATTCCTCTTGAGACTACACAACTTTGGGGACATCATCTCATGCATCTTTGTGCCTTACAGTCCCTAAGACAAGTCCAGCTCCCAGAAGACATTTCTTAAAGTTTAATTTATTTCACTCATGAATTCCAACCCCAGTGTGGTAATTGGAAACGAATTCCTTAATTTCCAAACATGTTCCTTTTTTTCTTTCAAGGTTACTACTCAATTACACAGTTGCCTAAAGTCTGAATCCTGGCTGTTATCCGATCCCATTTTCTTTTTCACCACCTCTCAAAATCGAATGAATTATCAAGAATCTTTTGTCTTATTTAATCAAGTTTAATAAGAGTTTTAATAGAGCATTTATCTGTTTTCTTCTCTGTAGCCCCACTACTACAGTACTTTAGTGCAGATTGCTTACTGCTGTCTCTTACCTGAATTACTGTAGAAGTCCCCGTGCCCCAGATTCTAACCCCACCACACCAGGTAACTACAGTGGCCTTCCGAAATCTGATCACGTCATTTCCCTGGTGGAATTGCTCTGCACTGCTCTTAGGACCTCATCTAGCTCGATGCCCGCCAGCCTCCCAGGGCTGCTCGCGCCCTGCGGCGCTGAGCTCGCGTGTCCGCCTGGCTCCTGGCTCCTGGCTCCCTGCGGTCTGGCCAAACAGAACGACTTAGCTCTCCCAGCGTCGAGCGCTTTTCTTTCTCCTCTTCACGGCTGTACTGTTACTTTCAGCTGGCTACTCCTCTGTTCCTCAGATCCCACCTCCTATGTCACTTCTGAAACTACCCTTTCCGCATAAGCCACGCTGTGTAGTAATTGCCTAGCTATGGAAATTCGTGTGTTTAAGGAAATAGCCCATCGGGTCCGAAGCTCGGTGTGGACAGGAGTCGTCTGTCCCCAGGAAGCAGCACGGTGTCGGGCCCCAGGCCCTTGGTCGGTGTTCGTTGCTCACAGCTTCCTAAGGGGCTGCGGACGTCCTGCCGTAACTCCCTCACCGCCTGTGCTCCCACCCACCTCCCACTTGATCGTTATTCCTTGACTCTTCTCTCCTCCCATAGTTAACGAAAACGGAAACGCAGTCGGACGGGTATTAACTATCGAGTTTAGTGGCGAGTGAGAAAGAAGGGCCGTGATACGACTTAAGGTAGAAACAGTATGAAAGGGAGCCGGTTTGAAGGGCAGGGAGGAACGGAACGCGTGGGACGGCTGGGGAAAGAACAGAGTGAAGAGTGAAATGCAGGCAGGGACAGAAAAAGCACAGCTCAGCTCCCTGCTGGAGCAAGAGCCCAGATGTCAGCAGGTAGGTAGGGGCGGCATGCTCTACTCGGCGGGCTCCGCCGGCCTCCGGCCTCCGCGGGCTCCGCCGGCTCCAGGCAGCGGGCCCGCCCCTCGCGGAGGCTTCTGGCCAGGCCGAGTCAGTGAACTGGCGGCGTTCGGGTAACAGCATCTTCCTTTCTCTTGAGGGACGAGCCCTCCTACGCCCTGGTCCCTAAGTGAAGACATCGTCTTTTCCGATACAGATTTCCTGATCGTTTAATTTGTTGGTTTCCATGTGGGTTTCGTGAGGTGCCTCCGGGGGTTAACATGATATTAAGCTCTTTTAAACTTTTTTCGAAGCCTTTTTAATGGGCTCATTTATAACAAAACACACTCAAATGTATTAAATAAAAGATTTCATCATATTGAAGATGAACAGGTTGTATTTCCAGGTTTATTTAGTTTCATACAAACCTGAGAAAACCATCCTCCCGAGCTGTTTAGAGGCGTTTAATTGAATTGTTTAAACGTCATTGATTAGGAGGCACACTGTGCTGCACCGACCTCCGAGGACATTTTGTGCACACGTGTGACATCTAAGCTGCAGACGCGAGGACCGCATCCCGCTCGGTTGTGCGGCACTCAGGCGGAGGCACCCAGGCGCTCCATGCGCAGGCGCGTCTGCGGGCACCATTCACAGGGCGCCGCCCCTGTGGGCTGGCGGGGTAACTGCATGGTAACCGCTGACGACGTCTCGGGCGTCCGAACCCCACAATAGCGTCATTTCCGGTCTCCCACGTTTGAAGCGTTGCTTTTCTGGCTTGATATTTAGGATAGTGATAAATACGGCTTTTATCCAATATATATAATATTTACATACCGTCTCTATATGCGTGTGTATGTGTATGTTGTATGTATATTCCGTAGCTAAAAGGCAAACAAACATAGCGACGGGCCTAATTAAACCACTTTATTCAGCAGCCTTGTTGCCAAATCCACTGGCCAGTTCTTAATTCTCTATTCTTTCTGATCTCTCTCCTGAGGTTTTGATAGTTGTTGACTACCCTTCTTAAAACTCTCTTCCAGAATGTTTGTCTATATGAGAGGTATGCTGAAGCCCTTAGAAGTGTCATATCTGCAGCCTACTTTAAAAAGATTCAACGGAAAATTTAAAAATTGGTTGTGTGTTTGTGTGTGTACAGAGAGAGCAAGAGCGAATGTGGCAAATACTAAAAATTGGTGAATTTTGGCAAAGAGCTTATATACTCGATTTGTCAACTTTTGTGTATGTTTGAAAAATTTCAAAATTAAATTACGGGATAAAAGGAAACAGGCAAGTTCAGAGAGCAGAGAACACAAGCAGGAACTACCCATGGGGTGGACAGCTCCCTGCGCTTCCGCCCACCGCAGGCCAGTTTTACCAGGAATGGTCGCCTTTCTCGTAACTGTCACTCATCCTGCTGCTGATCGCTGGGCATTTTTAGGGCCATGAGCTCATGTGCACTGATCTCAATTTTAATTTTAAGTTTATTAATTAATGAAATCAGAAAACAGTTAAAAAACAAAAGAGAAAAGAAGGGCCAAATGAAACCCAAACCTGGCAATGCTGCTGGGAGACACCCAACACCTCCCTCCTACCCTTGAATTAGATGAAGTGGCAGAGCAAACTGGCAGTGTGTATCAAGAGACCTAGAAACTCCCATGCCCTTTAATCCAGTAACCATCTTAAAATGAATCCCTGGAAAGCAATTTCAAAAAATATAAAGTAATCTCAGGATCATAGTTGATCATATAACCTTCTTCTGGCTCTGTGGACAAAACAACAAAATCCCTCCCCCAAAACCAGGCAAGTTTATTTGGAAAAAGTAATATTTTCCTGATAGTAACAAACAAAACCCCTTTCTTTTTTGAATTTGTAGATTGTTTTCTGACCTCTCTTCCTCTTTTCCTCTTGCCTCTTAAGTATAGGTGGTGTCCAACACCCACATCGCTGTTCTCATGGTTGGCCATTTAATTGAGCTCATGGTTTCTATTTTGGGGTAGATATGTAGATATCTCTGAAGCCTAAAATTTCAGTTTTATCCTCTTTGCAGAGCTCCATCTGTGATGCTTGCATTCCAACTGCTCACTTTTCATCTTTTGAATATCCTGTACTATATTTTAATCCTGTATATCCAAAAAAACTATCTTGTTTAGTTTCCCTCTTAAAGATCATTTTTCTGTGGTCCGTATTCTGTCAGTCCATCCTGAATTCTTGAGCTTTCAGTTGTCCCTCTTTCTGATACTACCATCAAAATCCTTCAGCTGTAGGCCCGCAGTGTCTTCCTGTGGTGTCTTCTCCGTCTGCTTGTGGATACCCTCATTCAAGCCTGGTTTTTGTTCTTAAGGATGTTTGTGATAGGTCCTTGTCTGGTCTCCCTGCACTCTCTTCTCTGTAAGGACTCTTGCCAGAGAAGTCTTCCTGACACATGTCAGACTGCATTCCTTTCTAGATTAAAGTCTTCCAAGATTTCTGACTATGAACAGAGAGATCCTTGAGCTCCTTCAGCTGTCCTCCGGGCCTTCCACTATATGGCTTCAACTTACTTTTCTTTTTCGTTTCCCTCCCTCAAATTTTTTTTTTTCTCTCTCATCCTCTTTATAACTTCCTTCTGAGACTTTCATAATTTTTTTGCCTCTACCTGATCATTTCCCTGTTTTCACCTTTCCAGATCTCAAGAGTTAACTGCCTTCCAGCTGGAAACAATCTTTTCTTCCTGGAAACTCACAAAGGCCTTTTCTGTCTCTTTATTACTGTGCTTAGTATCCTTTGCATTGTACTGTGGCTATTTGTGTGCATGTTCCTCCTGGTAGTTGTTGAGTGTTTTAAAGTGTGCATTTATGTCTCACTCTTCTATTGCATGTGTACATTATTTGGTACATAATTTTTAGTGCATATTTATTAAGTAAATAATCAGAACTATCTTGTGGGGGTATTTCTTAGTTGAGGAAAAGAAACAAAAGTTTGAGGATACTTCATTAACATGCCAAAGACAGAAAAGATTATATGTTCCATAAGGACCTACAGAAGTATATTTGGAATAATTTTGCTCAAAAAGAAATATAAGAAATTAGATACATAGATAAGAACGTGGATCACTGATTCAAACCATTTTGACAGATGAAACCTAATTTTTAAAGTCATAGGAGATAGACTTAACAGTATGTTCAATCATTTAAACAGTTATTTATACAAGACTTGCAGGCAGAAACATTTTGTTTTCTTTAGTATTTCTATATTATACAGCTCGCATTTTATGTACTCCTAATTTACTTCTTAATATCGTTGGAATTTCTTTTTAGGATCTTGATTCTTTAGTGGTTCTGTTCTCTCTCTTGTACTTCTTTTGTTGATTTTTTTTCAAGTCCTCTGTTTGTCCTGGCAACATTACATTTAGAAAATGTTATGTTTTGCAGGTATCCTGGTCAGATATAGGAGGACTGGAAAATATCAAATTGAAATTGAAACAGGCCGTGGAATGGCCCTTGAAACATCCAGAGTCTTTCACCCGAATGGGTATACAGCCACCTAAAGGAGTTCTTCTGTACGGGCCACCGGGATGCTCTAAAACAATGATTGCAAAGGCTTTGGCCAATGAAAGTGGACTGAATTTCCTAGCCATAAAGGTATGGTGTGAAAGTTTTTAATTGCTATTCTCTCATTCAGTACCCCAGCACCTATCCTCAGATTCCTACCCTTAGGAGAACGTGGAAAGGCACCTTAAGGAGTAGTTGATTTTGATTGAGGTTGATGGCAGTATAATACAGGGAGATGAGAGATAAGTAAATGAGTGTGTGTCATCAGCACATCAGGGTGGACAGTAGAAGGCTGCCTTGTTTAGTTTCTTGATTTTCAATATTTCTTACACCCATGTATAATAGACACCAGTCTTCTTTAATATATACATTTTTTAATTATACTAATCACTTTTGCTTCACCAAGACTTAATTATAAATATGATTGTGCTTTTAACATTTACATACATAGAATTTTTAAAGAAATCAGGTATTTTATATGGTAAAAATAAATTCTTTAAAAGTACTTTTTTAGTCAGAGAATATATGTACATAGTTGATATTCTGAAGCACACGTCCCTTTGTTCACCACCTTGCCCTATTACTTGGGATAGATCATCTTACTTGATATATAGTTTTCTATTTACTTTAGAACCAGGTGTTAATTTTGTTACTAATTTTTAATATATAATTTTTAATTATAATACATATAATCATGTTACTGATTATATAGCCAGTTACTAAATATACATACATAAAAGCTGAAATCCATTTCTGTGGACATTAACCACAAAAATATGTATTTAAATATGTTAAATATCAAATTCAGTTCAGAAAAGACACGTGGTAATCTGTTTTGATATTATCAGAGACTTTTTTCATAACAAAATACATGTTCTGTCTTAGAACATTGAAATCCTTGTTTGAAAGCATAAAACTTACTTCAGAGTAGAGTCCGTTTTTTACTCTTAAAATTTCTGTGCAGTGATATTTAGATGTGTTTAGGCTGTTTACCTTTTAAGCATTACTGGTGTTGGTAGATGTTGGATAGTAAAGATTTGGGGAAGGGGTCATGTTTACCATGATCAGTTAGACCGAATCACAGCCAGCTTTAAGGGTTGCTGGAGTAATGAATGATTTGGGGGTAATGAATGTTGGAGTAATGACGTGGAGTAATGGATGATTTTGAAACTTCCAGAGACATTTTGATTTTTCTTTGGTTCCTTCCTGTCCTCTTATTTAGTCGTAATGGACATGACCCCTTTACTAGCATTTCCTACCCTTTTTACTGTCATCTCCATTTTTCTTTGCCTACCTTGTGTGATTCCACAATTGTATTGATAATCTTTGGAATTTTCGTGTCTACTGGAAATCTGAACTTTATTTGATAAGGACTTAGCTCAGTTGTTTACATGGGGATCTCAAGGAAGAACATGTGTATATTTTTTTTAATTAGCACCTCACTCTTTTGTGACCTGAGATAACAGTTGCAGACGCTACCAGGACCGTTTTCTGGCCTATCCAAGATTACTTAAAAGCGTATTTATTACCATTTTTGAATATGAAACCTTTGATAACTTTAGACAGTTTCACTTTCGTCTTTTTTTGCAGTGAGAAAATGATAAAGATTCTTTGAAAGGTTCATTTTGGACACTGTCATGTAAAATAACCAACCATGTGTTAACTTATTTGAGTTTTTTTATTGTTTTTAATGCTTTTAGGTCACACACACAAAAGATAAGTGATATTAAGAAATTTTCTTAATAAATTGAGTTCACGCTTGCTTAGAGATTATTATGTGTCGTACTCACTAATTTTTATTTAATGTGAATTTTTATTCAGTGTAGAATTTAGTGTAGTATCACAGTATTACTTTTGAAGAGGGTACAGGATATATTTAATGAACAATAGGTGTTCATTTTACTAGTCTTTCAACTTTCATATATGTTTAATGTTTTTCAAAAGCTGGAAACATGAAAAAATAATTTGCTTTTCTTTGCATTTTCGTTGGTCCTCTCATCTTGGTCCGGTTAATGCTTGTGAAAAGAGTTAAAGTAGCTTTGTCATTTAACTTACATGTGAGGAGATGAAGTCAAAGAAGCTGGAAATTCATATATTCTTTCTACTTTTATCTTTCTATGAAGAAAAAGTTGCTTTTTGGTACTCACATGTGTGTTTATTTTCTAAGGGTTTTCAGTGTTATAATTACATGTGAGCCTTTTGAAATAACAAGCCTTACACATTTTGATCAGTGATCAGGAAAGATGATCAGGGATCTTCTAAGCAGCTGGGAAATGTGTAGTTTAGACAGATTGAAAGGCAAAGCTCGCTGACACTCCTCAATGCTAGTTACCTTTTGTTCCCAAGACAAAGAATTTAAAGACTTTAAACATTTCTTTCTCTGAGTTTATGAAAGTGCCCTTTCGCTTCCTCTGTGCGTCTTTTCTAAACAGTGATTAAAAGAAATACACTCTACTCAGACTTCACCTTGGCTTGCTTGCGTGGGCTCTTAATATCCTTTGGCATCTGTATTTGTTCTCGTGCAGACTGTAGCACTTGACATATGCTTAAGTTTAGTTTGTCATCTGGGTCAATTACGTCAAAATATTTTCCAGTTGAAATTTCCTCTCTGCTTGTCTCTTGGTTTTGTCTCGAGCGCTACAATAGGTTAAGTACCCTGGTCTAGCTGGGGCTGCTTTATTTTGTGGATAACAGTTACTGATTCTGAAAGAAGGGCAGTCAGGCCTCTGACAGGCATTTTCAACAAGTCCTTTATTAGCTGTGTTGGGGAGTACAAGAATGTAGTGGGCTTAGTGGCCTTGACTTTTGGGGGGATTTTCTTCTGATACCTGTCTCAGAGAGGAATTGTACAAAGTACATCCCATTTTGGGGAAAACCTGTACTTTATTCAAAGCAGTACACAATTTAAAGTAATTATTCTTCTTCATTTAACCAGATCCCCTATCATTCTGTTATCAGAGGTACAAGATAATCTGAACTTGGTTAAGTTCCAAGGTCATTGTTACACTTTTGGTTTTAAATTATGTAGGCTAGTCTATAAATCATAGAGCTTCCATTTAGCAGATATGCATGGAGAACTGCATAGATACCTCTTCTATAAATGGAATGCTTTAAGATTGGTTCCTAGGGTTACAAATAAGGATAATGACGCTTAGGAAGGCGAAGTGACTTTCAAAAGGTCAGTGTGGTAGTGATGGAACTGAAATTTGATCTTAGGACTTTCTGACTTGAGAGCCTGAGCTCAGAGCCACTATATTATATGATCTTTTTTTTTTTTTTAAATGAAACTAGTGCCCAGTGCTTTCTTCATTAATTACACCAAGTTACTGGAGAAGGTAGTTCCGGCAGGTTCAAAAACGTGGAAAGATAGATGTTTCTGGGACCCAGTTTAAAAATAATTTTGTTTCTCTAGGACAAGGAAAATTGAGAAAAATAGCATGGCTTTGGAGTAGAAGTTTGTTGACTTAATAAGAAAGTGTAATCACTGCTAAAAAACAGGAACCTAATAAATAAAATAGAAATGTATGGAAAAAGACTAGTGATTGAATAATGGGGAGCTGGAAATTTACCTATTAGTATATAATTTATACCCTGGAGATTAAGTGTGTTACAATGACAAGCACTAAGCTAGGGTTTCGATGGCTTCGGTTTGACTCCTTACCCTAGCACTTTTTAGCTCTGTAACCTTAAACAAGCTCTCTGAGTCAGTTTTTTTGTCTGTATAGCTTTTTGGAGAGGCTTTATTAAAAAGGTAAGAAAAAGCTTTAGAGGGCATAACTAGTTCGTGGGCTGTGTTTACACATCTAGTTCAGTATGGAAATGGGGGCAGGAAGAGCTGCGTTCCAGTGGATACACCTGAGAAGCACACCTCAGCCAGGTGATCAAGGTTAATGTCCTCAGTGATTAATCATGTTCATAGTATGTGCCTTGTAGGATGTGAAGAGAAGGGCACTTTCCCTCTGTGGTCTTCCTCCCAAGTACTCATAGCTCGTGTCTAACTGTGAGAAAAATATCAGGCAACCCAGGTTGAAGGACAGCCTCTGAAATACCTGACCAGTACTCCTGAAACTGTCAAGGTCATTAAAAACAAGGAAAGGGTGAGAAACTCATAGCCAAGAGGAGCCCAAAGAGACATGACAGCTCAATATAATGTTAGGGTCTCCTGGATGAGATCCTGGAATGGAAACAAGGACAGTAGGTAAAAACTAAGGAAACCTGAAAAACTGGAGTTCAGTTAATAATAATGCATCAGTATTGGTTTATTAATTATAGCAAATGTACCAAACCGATATATGATATTCAGAATAAGAGAAACTTAGTGTGCAGTGGAGGTAGGGATGGGAACTCTATGAACCGTCTGCTCAATTCTCCTGTAAATCTTAAACTTGACCCCCCCCCAAAAAAAAAAAGGTCTGTTGATTACATAAGAGTTTTAAAGTCAGTATCACAGACCCGGCACATTACAGACACTCAGGGACTGACTGGCGTTAAGACAGGCGGGCTCCGAGCTGTGCACAGCATGGTCCAGGGCGGGTTCAGTGCAGAGAGGGAGAAGAATCGTGGGAAGATGGCCGATCCTTGGGTGAGACTTTGGACGAGGCCTTCTTTCCTGTACTTCGTCCTCCTGGTCATGGTGAGAGCGGAAAGTTACTGAGGAAAGCCCTGAGAGGAGGTTTGCTGGGGAGCTGGGCTTGGGGCTGCCCTGAGCTGCCTGTTTCTCTGCCGTTCTCAGCTGAAGCCCTATGAAGGTGTGTGTTGGTTCTGGCCCCAGACCCAGACCCCAACGTTATAAACAATACTTTCTTTTAGAGTTTTGGTTATTTTTTCTTTCACTATGGGTACAGCTTCTAATTTAGAGTCTCACCAGGAACTATGTCCAGTTTCATGCATTTTGTGGACCTTAACTCTTCATTCTCCTTCTGCAGCTTTATTGCCATGTGGGCTCATCCAGAGCCTGAAACCTTCTAAGTTTCTATTTAATTTCCTGTAGCGTTTTTATTTTTTAACTTTAAAAATTCCCTCGACTTCTCCAAATAATGTTGTCTTATGTGCGCCATACAGTTGAATTGGCAGTTATTAGCATCAATTCC